GTCCGACTCTTCCCTAATTCCCGACCAAGGTTTAAAATTTAAATAAATAAAATAAATCATTTACATTTTTTAAAAAGTTAAATTATTTATATTATATTTGTATTAGGGCATTTTATCATTTTTTTTTTATGTTTTACTATTTTTTAACCAAATAATCAACATAATTGAAATGTTGATTTGACGGTTTATGTTAATATCGAATTCATAGGTATGTAAAAACATAGATGAAAATTCCTCTCTTTTTTATCTCGTTTTGTCGTTTTTTCTATCACAATTTTAGCACAGTCATTAACTTAAATTTCTTGAAATATAGTCACAATTTTTGTATTAAAAAGCTTCATTGCCAATAAAATTTATGTTATAATCATTTAGATAAAAGTCAGACGAAAGCATATTATATGGGTTCGAAAAGCACGTTATATGAAACTCAACGGACAAAAATGAATAAAATTGACAAATATATTTTAAAATTGCTTAAATGTTCAAAACATTAAGATTTTAACTTGAGATCTTTTTGCTTAGTTCATTTGGAATCGAACCATCTAAAATGATTGTCTTATCCAATAAATTATATTCAAATTGAGAACCATTCACCGAAGAAATTACATACATATATTTTATCATGAAAAAAAAATTCAAGCAATGATTTGTTTTAACACAGTTTTACATTGATTTATTATAAGATTTTTAAGTATAATATGTATCTAGAGTTTAATATATATCACTATTGGTCAAAATTACAAATTTAATTTCTAAACTAAGATATGCTTCACCTCATAAAGTTGCTCGGATCAAGCTCAGTGTCAGTGTGCCTTGTTTAAAGCCCAAACCTGTAAAAAACAAAAACAAAAATTAAAAAAACTGGGAATTAGGACATGAAATATACAACCCTTTAAGTTGAGAAGACTTGCGAAGAGATATGCAATGGCTGATGTTGATGAACAATATCCCAATTCTAATGGAGAAAAATTTCTGGCACTCCGGTAGTATGAAAAAATTTCCGATATTCCTTTTCATTATTTGCCATAAAAGAAGCATTAAAAGGATTAGTATGAAACCCCGAAACCTATGAAGTAAAATAATATATCATCTCGTGATATGTCGAATATTGAAGGAAAAGAGATCTTACGAACGCCTTTTTTTTAACGACAGGTTCGTTAATTCTCATGTGCAGATGACTGATCTCAGTAGAAAAGTTGCCTCTACACTATGAAGTTTCTCTTTTTAACATTCCCATTTGAAATTTCCGGAGGTATTCCCTTGACCTAATGTCAGCCTGAATCATATATTGAATAAAGAAGGCATTTCAGTGATCTTACATCAAAATCTCACCCCTAAGGCAAGATTCAACACGAATACTATGTATAATGTCACAAATCAAGAACAAGCTTTAATGGATATTCATTCAGTTTATGAAAGAAAGTTGAGTAAGGCTTAATAATATCTCTGCAAAAGTTATAATGAAGAAGTAATAACCATTACGGATATCTTTCAAGCATATTTATGCTCTACCTGTCGAATAGGTTCTGGAACACGAAACTTGCACGTGCTTTTAACAATCCTGATGGCGGTATCGAGTGAAACACGATGACCAATTGAAATGTATATGGGCTTCAATGAATCAGCTGTAGATCTCATGGCCTGAAAAGGAGAGGAAAAGCTCAAACAATGTTCCCAAACAAAAAGCTGTACTTTTATGTATGGTGGCATAGTGTGTGAAATACGAAAACCACTGATCTCGTCTCATTGGCTTTCGAACTCGGTCAAATTGAATTACCGAAAAAGATTTATAACTCGTTTACCACACCCCAAATGCATCCAGAGGTACCCCTCAAAGTTACAACCGAATCATTATTTTTGCTCTCCGAAAGGAGTCGCCTAACACCGGAATGGGTAAGACCATCAACATGGTGCAGCTGAAATTCACATTAAAGAACACATCCGAATAAGAACTTCAGAAATGGCGAGAGAATAAGCATCCAGGGTCAGTTTTCAAAATCTAGGCTAAGCTAAACAATGCTTGATGGGGTTAAACGTTCAAATACATGCCAAGTTAGATGAAATCAAAACTCACATTCTTTCCAATTCCAATGGTGGGCAAATTAGCAAGAACGCCAAGATGACTGGCCAGACCAAAACCTGCACGTTCCTCCCATGGAAGACTCAGTGTTCCAAGATAACATATTATGTTAATATTACTGATACTACAGATAATCGATCGACTTTTAAGTTATAGAACGAGATCAAATAGTGGCAGCAGCCAATTCGAACGCAACTCGTGGAATCCCACCACTAATTCATAAATATTTTGGAGATAAAAAATACCTCGAGGATGGAGAATTCCATTTCCATCAACCAGCAACAACTGCTCAAAAAAAAAAGTCATGTTACATGAAAAAAAAGTGTACAGAGTAGACTATTATAAGTGCATCGGTGATAAATGGGGATCAAAGTAGTGAACTGGATTGTCTAGAATTTTCTGTTCATGCAGTTCCATACGTGCAACTTGAAAAATTATGATGACCTCCACAAGGAGGAAGTATCTCACAGATGATTTCAGCATAACATGCGAAGAAACGGACATTGGAACAGCGATAAGATTTTGTTTTTGAGTGTCATAAATCAAGTCAATCCAGGCATTTAAACATTCACCTGAGGATACAAATGAGGATCTCTCTTTTTCATCCTCTCCAAAAGCTCCAAGAGAACTGGGGCCTGAAGAACCGAAGCAACAAATTGTATCTAATTACCAAAAGTAAAGCGCTAATGCCAAGAGATTTCCAATAATATATCAACAAATACGATCAGTAACATTCATGTGAACATAGGAATTCTACAGATATGTAAATAAATTAAGAATAGACAAAGTAGAAGATCGACAAAAGCTTCCAATCTGCAAACAAGTAAATGAAGCTGGAATGTACTTGAAATTGAAAGGTGATTATGAACAAATGAAGGAAAAGAAACCTCTCTAAATGCTAGAAAGCCAGGGACATAAGGATCTTGAACGGTGACAAGTGAGAAATCTTCATAGACAACTTGAAGAGTTTGGAGGTTTAAAACCACGAGCGTACCACACGCAACTGATGAATCTTCCTTTAAGAAGCTTATATCAACGCCACCGACGTACTTCAAACTATCCCCTTCGAACTCATCCTCTTTGATCAGTTTCTTCTTCAGCAAATCCTGCGCTCTGAGAAACATAGAAAAAAAAAATTAGGCCGATTCCAAATGAACGATTCTCTAAAATGGAAAATTATTCGATTACTCTATCCAATTCTGAATTTCAACCGAGGAAGTCGTTGCCGCCTCGGGATACGATTTCACTTGTTTCTCTTCTTCGGATATCATCTAAACCTCAAAATTCTGCGACTACTGGAATACCGCCGACGCGTTGGAACAGGTCGATGCCGGCGAATTGATGAACGGCTGCCAAGAGGATCGAAGTTTCTACGGATTATTAAGTTCCGATTAGATACTGACCGGCCGGCCAAGCAGGAAAAATGGTGAAACAATAAATTTGATCAAGAAAGATGTCCACTCGGCGGGTCGTGGAAGCCCATCTACGCGGATACACTTCCCCATAATTTTTCTCCAATTATTATTTAAGAAAATAATTATTTTTTAATATAATCCTGCTATTATAATAAATAAATATATATTTCCTAAACAATTTTTTTCTAAACCTAACTTCTAAAATTTCAAATTTTAATATTAAACAAACACTTAACAATTAAAAATTCTAATTAATTTAAATATTATTATTAATCTCAAAATTAGTTAATTTATTTTTAAAAATTTAATTTTTAAATTCATAATACGTAGAACATCTCCAAATTTTTTAATGTTATTTTTAAAAATTTATGTGTATTTTTTAAATATGGTACTAATGGTTTTATTTACATATAGTGATATGAACCACGACCAAGAAATTTTCATACCTCGAGGTCCAATTACAAGGACGAGAGCCAAGAAGCTACACATACACTTATATTCAGGATATGGTTAGCTCATTAAAGGAAATTCTAGAAGACGTTGGAGACCTCTCTTATATGTCAAGAAGCTACAACAAACCTTATACACTTATATTCAAGATACGGTTAGCTCATCAAAGGAAATTCTAGAAGACGTCGGAGACTTCTCTTATATGTTGTGCAAAGTTGAGCTTCAAGAAAGAGAGGCATTAAATCAACTTTAAGTTACATCTAATGAACTCAACTAAATTTATGAAACTAGTCAAAATCCAAAGATGACTAATAAGCACATTTCATTTGTTGCACTATTTAATTATAATTTAAATATTTGTTTGTCATAGCTAATTCTTAATATAGGAGTTAAGATTATATTGTAACACATTATCCCATTTCACCATTAACTAGCCATACGAAATTAGGCGTATATTGGCCAATTTAATTTGGGAGTTATGTGTAACTTAAGTTGTAAAGGCTATATAGGCTATATAAAGCCTTATTTTCTTTAATTAGATACATCACATCTTGGAATGACTATATATATATATAATTTTTTGGTTGAGAGCTAGGATTTTCTTTACAAATTATTGTATTTTAAAACTTATATTAAAGTCATTCAACTGGTATTAATCAAACCTCTTATGGAGTGATTCGAATCACGAGTTTAAAAACGAGTTTTTTTTGCTTTTGATCTTGATCATCAACGTAATCGGTTTCATACTTTCCCTTGGGTTGATTCCATATCATAAAAGGGTATTTTCAAATTTTTTTTAAAAGTTTAAAAAGGAAGTTTTTAAAAGGGAGATGCTTTTAAATTCATAAAAAATATATATATATATATATATAAAGATATTAATATAACTTTTACACAATTTTATACAAAAATGACTTAAAAAATAAAAAGCAAATATTATTTAACTTTTAAAAGTTAAAAGGTTATTTTGTTACACTAAGTATAAAGTTGTATTTTTATTAATTTAGTTTAATAATAGTAATAAGACTAAAAATAATTTTAAACTTTACTCTTTATCACTGGGTTGCTGTCGCCCTTAAAAGCCCTAATAATCCTTTCGCAATTCTCTGCATCACATTGCCGCCTCCTTCCGCCGTTCATTCTTCCTTGCCGGTCTGATTAAAATGTCGACGGTTGAAAGCTTGCTCAATCCATCCGCCTCCAAGCTTTTTTCCTCCAAATCCCTGTTCAATCCTTCCATTTCCAGTTCCTCGATTTTCTCGCCCGCTCCGCGATTGCGCAGATTAAGTTCTTCTTCGTCGCTGTCGATTAGGTGCTCGGCAACTCAGCAAATGGAGGCTGTGGTTGATTCTGTAAGTCCGGGGCAGTTCCGAGTTGATGTTCTCTCGGAATCCCTGCCATTCATCCAGAAATTTCGAGGTAAAACGATTGTTGTGAAGTACGGAGGGGCCGCCATGAAATCGCGGTCGCTCCAGGCTTCGGTTGTTAACGATCTTGTTCTTCTGTCCTGCGTCGGCCTTCGTCCGATCTTGGTCCATGGCGGCGGGCCGGAAATCAACAACTGGCTTAAACGGCTCAACATTGAGGTCGTTTTCCGCGACGGTCTTCGGGTGACCGACGCCGAAACGATGAAAATAGTGTCGATGGTGTTGGTCGGCGACGTGAATAAGAATCTGGTTTCGTTGATCAATAAGGCCGGAGCATCGGCTGCAGGGCTCTGCGGTGTGGATGGGCGGCTACTTACGGCTCGTCCAGCCCCTAACGCGGCACAGTTAGGATTTGTAGGCGAGGTCGCACGTGTGGATCCTACGGTTCTACAGGCACTTCTGGACAAAGGCCACATTCCGGTGGTTTCTTCGGTGGCTGCCGATGAGTCGGGACAGATGTACAATATCAACGCGGACACAGTTGCCGGAGAATTAGCGGCGGCGCTGGGGGCGGAGAAGCTGATCTTACTGACGGATGTGGCGGGGATTCTTGAAGACCGTGACGATCCGAAAAGCTTAGTGAAGCAGATAGACATCAAAGGGGTGAAGAAGATGATGGACGAGGGAAGAATCGGCGGAGGGATGATTCCAAAGGTGAGTTGTTGTGTCCGATCGTTGGCTCAAGGGGTGAGGACGGCGAGTATCATTGACGGGAGGCTGGAGCATTCGTTGCTGCTAGAGATCATGACCGACAATGGAGCCGGAACCATGATTATAGGCTAAGGTCAGAATTTTGAAGCTTTGAACTCCTTGAATTTTCTAGGAAATGTTTACATGATATTGTCTGATCTGGGAAACATATTTGGATGAATTTGTATGAGTAATTGCGATTGAATTCGCCTGAAAGTGTTGATTATTAACGTTATGAATAAATTTAAGTTCTTCTCGTACAAGAACAACATGGATTCTTAGAATTTTAAGAAGTTCAATTCGAGACCGAATACATGAACTTATTAGTCATTTTCACAGTTTGACCACCTAATAAATATTTTTTAAATTTTAGTTGTTTTTTTTTTTAATCCAAAATCGAAACTTGATGAACTAAACTTCAAAACATTTTAATGCTAAGAAAACCATGCCACCCAATAAGCTACCATTTAAGTCCGATAGTTTCTCAAGTTTGGCAATACCCTTCTCGGAATTCAATCCGATCATATTTTCACAACACGAGTTAAAATAGTTCATAATTTGAATTAAAGGGTTGATTAAAGAACGTATGTCACTTGCGGTCATGCTTATCTAAGGCTTGTTGCCTGTAGTTGTGGGTGCATGTTAGATGTCTTGGTCATGCTTATCTAAGGCTTGTTGCCTGTAGTTGTGGGTGCATGTTAGATGTCTTGGTCATGCTTGTCAAGGACGTGTTTGTCCAGGGCTGCATGCACGTATCCCTTCTACAACCTTTCAATATTAAATAGGCTTTTACTATTTCTTGTGTTTAAATAGGAGTGTATGACCGACCACCAAAATCATGTCTATACCTTATTAGGGCTAAAATGTCTCAAAATGCTACTAATGTTAGGGTGATGTGACTATTGTCAATTTTTCCTACCCAGTTATATGCTTTCCCCGTCGTTGTTGCTTATTCACTTTTAGCCTATAACATTACTTTCTTTAAAATTGTTTTGAACGTATTTCTTCGCTTACATTTTCTAAAACATTTCTCTTAAATGTAACTCGAGACTCAGAGCATACGTCAAAATTGTGTGCGAAGTACGAATTTTACATGGCTGATTTATTCTCTAGATAAAATAAGTGTCGCTCAATCATTGTTCCACTATTGTAAGGGTGCGATTGTGACACCCCACAACATATCTAGCGGCCATGACATAATTGAGAATAAAATGTTGGCTCAATTAGTACAACATGACAAAAAGAAAAAAACACAGAGAAAAAGTGTATGGAGGACCAAAACAGAACTTTCCTTCCAACTAAGGCTATGAAAATAAGCAACTTGTCGTAGGGGAATTAACATTTGCAAACAAGCTCAGACCGCCGCCGGGAACAGAATATATTGAAGCGGCCGCCACCGCCGCCGCCTTATTGACCAAAGCCACTGCATTCTCGTACTTCCAATGCATAAGACGACGGTTAAAATAAAAGTTGAGTTTCTACCCCTATTTTTTAATTTCAATTTTGTATCTGATGGTTAAATAAAATCTTTTATATTTTAATTTTTTTTCTTTTATTTCACATGTTTGTAAATTGGACTATTAAATACAAAATTAAAAACTCAAAATAATTTATTAGATAATTTTTAAAATTTAACTAATAAGATCAAAACTAAACTAAAAAAAACTAATTTTTAAAGTTTAAGTTTTAATTGATATAATTAAATCAATAAAAAAAAGTATAAATTATTCTAAAATGACCAAATGACATAATGAATATTTAACCAAATTATAAATTTTGTCATTATACTTCAATATATTTATTTAACAAATAATCTTTATTTAATTTTCAATTTTGATTTTGTATTTATTAAATTTTAGATATACTAACATTTTTAAATAATTTTGAATGTAATTTGTTAAAGTTCATAAATATTTTTTTAAGGGTATTTTTGAAAAATAATATTAGTTTGCATATTTTTTAGATTTTTTTTTAAAATTTAATATTCTTTAAAGTTTACATTTTTTACACAAAAGATTATAAATATTTTTATTAGGTGGGGTTTGACTATGACGTTCTATAGACGGCGTTAAAGCTTCGTTTATACATGCGGCCGTTTAGTGCTTGGAAAGGACGGATCTCAGCATTCCCATTTAACTCCGTTATTTATTTCTTTATTATTATTATTATTATTATTTTATCACTCCAATCACGAAACTTTTGAGATAGTGTAGGTGGGGTGGATAAGAGGCATACAAATAATAGAAAAAATAAAAAATAAAAAATAAAAAATAGTAATAAATAAGATGTCTATCACGATATTTTAGAATTTTTTTACAAAATTATTATGTTATAATGTAATTTATATCGTTAACTTATCTTATTTCTTCCGTAGTTAATTTGAATTTAATCTTATAATAATTATTATAAAGTAATTGGTCTACAAATTAATACCAGAGCTTTAAAAAAAAATAGAATTATCGGTACTTACATGTAACATGCTAAAACAGACAATATTTGGCAGCGGTGAACTCTGACCATTACAAATGGTATCAGAGTCTGTCTTCAAATGGTGTGAAGTACTAGTCGAAGGTTAGACCTTCTTCATAGTAGACCCATTTAAAAATTGTATAGCTAACGACGATACGTAACGGACTAAAGCGAACAATATTTGTTATTTATGGGGTTTGACTATTACAAATGATATCATAGCCAACATTAGGTCAGGTGTGCCAACAAGGACACTAACCACTAAGAATGTGGATTGTAAGATCTCAAGTCAGTTGGAGAAGAAATCGAAACATTTTGATAAGGAAGTGAATTTCTAGTAGATGCGTTTTAAAACTGTCAGACTATTACAAAATGGTATCTAAGTCAAACATCGGATCAATCTTGAGAGATTAAAAATAATATAAAATAAATGAAATAAAATTAAAATAAATATATATATATATATAAAAGAAACTAAACCAATAAATTAAAAATAATAAAATATCAAAGAAACATGTATAGGCTAAATACCTAGCACCAAGAATTGTTAATATATTTTATATATTTTTATTTATCTCGAGTTAAGTAGAAGATTTTGTCTACCCATTTGGAACCATGTTAAAAAAAAAAGACCTAAACTTATTCAAAATGCTAATTCAATCCATCTCATAGATTGTTGGGTTGGGATTGTGAGGTTGTCCCGTGGAATGTTCTCCCTATTGAGAGCCTTGCAAATAAAAAGCAAATCGAAGGCAAAGAATCCATGAACTGAGAAATGTCTTCCTTCTTCTTTCGGTGAAAAAATGGGGAGCGGGGAATTGATTTGAAAATTGAATGCACTGCAAGAAAATACGTACAAAATAATTCTCTGCCGATGCTTCTTAGGGTTTCCCCCTTTTTGATTCTCTAATAGTTGCGGAATGCCCTCGAGAAATCGAGGGCTTCGCTGCGAACTTTTGTTCTGATTCCGGATTTTTCCATTTCAATCGATTGAAACTACTTTCATTTTCGAGATTTTTTCTGCAAAATTGATCGAGGGGAATGTTACTGCATTTGAGTATTAGGTTTTGATTATTCGAGAGTCTTCACGAAGCTATTTCTAGTGCGATTGCTTATGATTTTTCGTTAAATGCTTCAATCTGCACAGTTTCTGCTACTTCTGAATTGATCGTGTGGACTGAGTTCTGTTCTTGGGGTTTCTTATCAATCAGCAGATGTTAATGATGTTTTTTATTTTACATTGCACAATGCTGCTCGGTTTCTGCTGATTCTGATGGATTTCTGAAACTATATTGTATTTCTGAATGAACCAAATAACGTTGATGCAGAAAAGAAGCTATGGTTTTGCAGGGGTTGGAGTTTTGGAGTTGCGATTTGAAAAGCGGTGGAACATGTGGTTTAATTCAATATAAAGTGAAGAATCTTAATAGGGTTTGACATGCTGCGAATCCTCTTGAAATAGAGGAATGCCTTCGGGAGCGTGGACATAGGTGATATATGGCTGTTGTCAGCCCATGTCATATGGTTCTGCAGGGATTGGATTTTCGGAGTGACAATTTGAAAAGCAGTGGAGCATGTGGTTTAGTTCGTTGCAAAGCGAAGAACTTTATCAGGATATGACATGCTGCGAATCCTCTTGAAAGAGAGGGATGCCTTCGGGAACACAGAAACATGTGGTGTATAGCTGTCGTCAGCCCGTGCCATATGGTTTTGCAGGGATTGGATTTTTGGAGTGACGATTTGAAAAGCGGTGGAGCATGAGGTTTAATTCGAAGCAAAGCGAAGAATCTTATTGGTGCTTGAAAGAGAGGGATGCCTTTGGGAACGCGGACACAGGTGATGCGTGGCTGTAGCCAGCTCGTGCCGTAAGGCGTTGGGTTAAGTCCCGTGAACGAGGAGGAAGAAAACAAGGTTAGTTCCGAATGATCCATACAGATTGAATCAACTGAATGCTCCTTGTTCTGGTTCTAGCTCTATTTTCAAAAGATGTCACCTGTTTACTAGGTTGTCTCCTAAAGGGTTAGATTCTGATTCATCTAGAAGTCCAACTTCTCTGGGTTTTTGGTAGTTGCTAGTTTAGGTAACCCTCTTAGAGCTCCCAGATCATTAGCCAATGCGGGCATAGAAGGAGCTGGGATTCTAGTGAAGTAGGGCTGAGCTTGATAGATTCTTTAAATGACAATGATAGTAGTAAACTATTTGGGAAGAATCTCGATCATCCGGTAGTAAAACTGTTCTATTCGGGCTTCGAAGCGTGACCGAGAAGTCGAATTGTTCATCACGGGAAAATCATTACCAGGGACCTAAATCCTTGCCTAAAGCTTCCATTGAACTGTTACAATGCAAGTCTTTTGGGAACTACTCTTGTTCTTTTGAATCCTACAGGTCGTTTGCTCCTCGAGCTGGTTTAACCGGTCACAGCCTCGGTAGTTGTACTACTACCGAGAGCATTGCTGCTCGTCGGTCAGCCAAAGGAGCTCGAGTGTTGGAAAAATGTCCCCTCATGAAACCTTGTTCAATTTCTTTAGGCATATCAGGTGACAGCATATCTAAGAGGCCTCTCTCAGCTAGTGAGATTGAGCTGTCTGAGGATTATACTGTGTAATCTCGCATCGTCCAAACCCGAAAGCTACTCATATTTATGGTGACTGCATTTTAGATTCGAACTCGAATTATTAAAGCTCGTCTTCGGAGAACGAAATGAAGGAGCTCGATATCTTCACTTCATATTCCTTAAGTGGTTTCTTAAGCTTCTGCTACTCCTGTCACAAGAAACTGGAAGAGGGAAAAGACATCTATACTTATAGGTTCGTCACGAGAAAACGAAAATCGTACTGTCCTCTCGCATGCCTTTTACAGTTTCAAACCACTCTGATTCAACTTGTAAACTGTCGCAGGGGGGAGAAGGTCTAACGTGTCGTTCCCACGAGATATCGATAGACGAAGAACTCGAGAAATCCATTGACAAAACCTCCGAGCGTTCTCCCAAGTCCAATGCTGACCATGATGAGGACCTTTTTGAAACCAGCATTGGTGGCTTTGCATAAAACTCGCCTCAATGGCTGGCCAGCATCCCGTGGTTGACGAACCTGTCGGAGGCAATCGACACGCACCCTTTTGGTCATCTGTTTGAAAAGAGCTGTTTTTATGTCCATTGGTGGCAGCCATGGATGATCATTTCTATAAAGTGATGGTGTCTGCTTGCTTTGCTTCACCTTTCATGGTCTTTAGTCGATGATAAATCTTTGGTCTTGTTTCTATCGTAAACTTAACCGAATGCCCCGTGAGTCTGGATTACACGGAGACACAAAACTTGAATATCTAACTTTTTAGTCGATGACGTATATCTAATCTAGTTAAACTATGCTCGGGTTCACATCAAAGTTTAAATTTTGCTATGAATGTTCTTTTATTGCAAGATACGGTAAATAAATTATGAAATTTTTAAAAATGTTGTGATATAATGTTTCTCCCCAGCTTTAAACCTTGGTCACATTTCTAATTAAATACGAAGTATATGATCACTTAATTCAAAATATTATATAACAATTTTTGAAAATCGTTGTTCAAGTCATATCTTTTAAAAATTAAGTAAATTTTATTAAATAATGAACCCGACTAAACCATAAATTTTTAGGGTTGGGTTGGTTCAAACTGTTCTTTTTATTTATTTGTTCTTTTAAAAATCTTAGTTTATAAAATATTTATTTACTCATTTTTTAAATATTTAGTTAAAATTTAAAACTCAAATTTAATATATATTTTTTGAAATATCATCTCTAAATAAATATTAAAAAATAATTACTGAATTTCATTTATTTAAACACGAATTTATATAAGTTTGAAATCCACTTGGAGTTTATTCTTGTAATTAATTAACTCCCATAATTAAACGTCTATTAATTCCTAATTTAAACTATAATAACAAAATTAAAACAATTGGTTTTTTTGGTTTATTATTTTTGTAACTCATCGGCTAAACACGCACAATACTATTATTATTATTATTATTATTATTTAAAAAAATATCCTTTTTTTAGAATTTTTACTCGTTCTGGAAAACCAGTATGTTGATGAGCACCCGGTAATTTCCTCCCATTTTCTTTTTCAGCATCTCGTCTCAGCTTACTTAACTCTCTTCGTTACCGCCATCTTTGTTTTTCTTTTGTTCCCCCCAATTTGATGCTCTTTCGGCTTCAATTTCAATCTCTGATCGAACTCGATCCATTTCTCCCTCTTTTTGATCTGCAATTCGTTTCTTATCCGTTCGATTAAGCGCGTCGCCGGGATATTGAACTATTTCTGGCTGATTGGGTGGAATAGTCATTTCGATCCAGATCTAGGGTTTTGCTTCCGTTTCTCTCTGAAATTGGTGCATTCTACCGTTTCCTTTTTTGTTTCGCTAGATTTTCTCCTTGAGGATTGAGGGACTCGGATCTCGCGGCTGTTGAGGTAATTTAATTTTTCGTCCCACTGGTTTTTTCGTTGTGTCTTTGCAAATTTAGGTGTAGGGATGAAATGTTTCGTTTAGATACGTGTAGTTGACGGCGTCCTTGCATCTCTTGGCGTAAATTGTAGTTTGAATACTTGGATTACTTTGCACCGACATTCTTCTAGACTGATTGGAATAAGGAAATTTCGCTTTGATTGAATCTAGTTTCTTCGAATTGTTTTCTTTATTTCTATAGGAATGCGAATTCTATACGTCTATTGAAAGCTACGATCTGAATTTTTCCAAGTAATATTGACTAACATTGTGAACATCAAGAAAAGATTATGGTAACGGAAAATATCTTGGACTAGATGAGTTTTATTTTCTTAGCTCCGTAGGAGCTTAAGCCGACAATGGTTGCGATGTTCGAAAATTAACGTCTATTGATGCGAAAGCTTTTCATGATGTTGTTGTAGAGCTAGAGCTTACGTGTTGAAGATGGCTGTCAAAACAGCACAATCATTTAGAGATCGGACGCTGGAATTCCAGAACATAACAGAGAGGCTAAAGAAGTCTTTTTCATCGAGCACGGGAACAACTGGACCTAGTGCTGGTTCAAAGTCAGAAGAGCAGCGCTCTGCTGTGGCTCTTCAGTCTGAATTTAATAAGAGGGCTTCCAAGGTTGGATTAGGGATACACCAGACGTCTCAGAAACTCTCAAAGTTGGCAAAATGTAAGTAGTTGAATTGGAAGTAATCTATGGTGCATCTGCGCAGTCTTGTATCCTGTAGTTCAGACCAGATGCCATTTTCAATAAATTTTATCATTTAAGCCTGTCATATTAATCATTAGTTAAAATGCTAAGTTTTAAAGTTTGAGCAATGCATTATTTTATCATTTAAGCCTGTCATATTAATCATTAGTTAAAATGCTAAGTTTTAAAGTTTGAGCAATGCATTGTTAAATTCCATTAATTTGAGGACCATAATCAGAAAAAGATTGGTAAATTTCATAATGCATTATGCCATGGTAGATGTTTGGTAACATATTGGGTGGTTCTAACAATCTAAGTAGGTACTGAACATTTTCCTTGAGATTCCATTTATTTATCGAAAATATATTTTAAACTCTGAAAAAACTGCTGCTGTGGTTCATTCCTTTTGTAAATTGTAAGTTCTTGACACCTTAAAATTTTAGGCAGTTGATTTTATTTAGTTTGCAAAATGCAAAGGAGACTAGGGAAGAAACATTTATCTGTTTCACGTTGGTTGGTTTTGTTTTTAGTTACATTATTGAGCTTAATGGAGAATGCCTAATGTTGCATATGAAAATAAATTTTCTTAAAGGTATTGCATGAAGCATGACAGTGTAAGTTTCTAATTTTCTGATTGAGTTTTGATGTTCACATCATGATTTCCAGTGGCAAAGAGGACTTCAGTTTTTGATGACCCAACAATGGAAATTCAGGAGCTAACTGCTCTTATTAAGCAGGACATTACAACCTTGAACTCTGCCGTTGTAGATCTTCAGCTTCTCTGCAACTCTAGAAATGAAAATGGAAACATATCCAGTGATACTACTAGTCATTCAACCACTGTGGTAGATGATCTTAAGAATCGACTGATGAGCACCACAAAAGAGTTTAAAGAAGTTCTAACCATGCGAACTGAAGTAAGCTCAAATGTTGCACTGCATTTTTTTTCTTCGATTGGCTTTTATCTATCTCAGTGGCAGACTTTTCCAGCTTTTTTTTAATACTTACGTTATTTGTTGGTTTAATGAAGAATTTGAAGGTTCATGAGAATAGAAGACAACTATTTTCTTCTACTGCTTCAAAGGAATCTACCAATCCTTTTGTGCGCCAGCGTCCATTAGCTTCCAGGTCAGCTGCTGGTGCCTCAAGTGCGCCCCCTCCTCCATGGGCCAAGGCGTCCACATCTTTTTCTAAAACATCTCCCGGGTGAGAATTTTTTAATTGTTCCAGTTGATATATTCACACCCTTCTATTTATGCAAAGCATCTTCTTAGTTGTTTTAGATGATAGTGGGATATGTTCAAAATATAATTTTGGGTTTATGGTGCTTGCAAATGTGCTTTCCCCAACTTGCAGTCATAAAAATGATAAAAAAATACATCTCCTCTGAATTGCCTCATGAACTTTATAATATGTCCCAAATTACTCAAGTGTAGGAAACTGTGTGAGAAAGGGGGAGCCGTGTGAGAGGATAATCATGTATTTGTGTGGGGCCCATAGGTTTTGTTAGTTACGTGAGAGGCTTCAGGGGTGGTGGAGGTTTACTGGGAAGAGTTTTTGTGGTGAGGGTATCTTTCTGGGTTTGGTTTTCTGGAACTTGTCTTTTGAGTAAGAGAGGTGGGGAGCTCTCAAAACTTTTCTTGGCTGCAGTGTATTGATGAATAAAATTGTTGGCTTAGGGCTATCACTTTACTGTTTGACTCTCGTCCACTCTCTCCCTCTCTCTCACACACAAACACACAAGAGAAAATTTCCAACACACTTCTCCTCCTTCACAAGCAATTCCAAGCAAAATTTCCTCTTTAATTAATATCTACGATCTTCAAATTCATAGTATCCCTCCAGCGTCCCCAATTTGATTTTTAAAATTTATTTGAGTTAATTATTGTGAGTTTCAACTATGAATGTTATATCATGGAATACTTGAGGATTTGGGGATGATGCTAAACAAACAACTTCGAAGGAATTTATCCAGCTTTTCTACCTAGATTTGGTATTAATTCAAGAGACCAAGATTGGAGTTTTTAACCAAAAATTTATCAAATTCTTTGCTTGATAGCATTCTTGTTTCAAAAGAATGAGATCAGTTGTTGGACAATTCAAGGGTATCAAGACAAGTTTGTATTTTTTCTGACTATTCTCCTTTCCTTTTGGAAGCTGGAAGTTTTGTTTGAGGGTCTTCCCCTTTTAGATTTCATAACAGTTGGATGTAAATGTTAGATTTTGAGTTGACTTCAGCAGTTATCCTTTGTGATTCAATGAAAATTCTATCCTGGAACACATGGGGGTTGGGGGATTATTTGAAAATACTCAATTTGAAGAAGTTTCTGCAGCACCGTTGTCCTGACTTGGTTCTTCTACAAGAATCAAATGTTGGTATATTTTATTCAAAGATCATTAAATTCATGTGAAGTTACAAAGTAGCACTTTATGTTCCAGTGTTTAATGCTTAGGTTGGAGAAAAGGTGGTTGATGTAACGTTCATTTTGGCGTTTTCCAAAAGAGTTTTGCATGCTCCGATTTTTATATTTTTGGTTGGTTAGGGGCTGAAGTCATATTTTGGTTGGTTAGGAGTTGATACAACTTATTTGCATGAAGAGCTTTTAAAAGACGCTTCACGGGAGGAGCTAGTGGCTGATAAGCTTTATTATTCCCAGTGTTGAGCTCTATTTGATTGTAATTGCCTCTAGGTTCTTGATTTTTCTATTTCTTTATCTATTTACACTCCCTTTGGGAGTCTATATTTCTTGAACATTTCATTTTCATTATGCCAATAGAAGTTTTTTGTTCAAAAAAAAAAAAAAAGATCTTTGGAGGAAGTGCTTGACTTCGCTCTTTTCTTGGCTCCCTATTGGTGTAAAAATGTTTTACCTTTTAGTAATTATTCTAAACTCTTATATCCAGCTGGAGAAGTTTTTTACAATCTCTTTTGGATGGGTTCCCCCTTTTCTACATTTCATTTAATCAATGAAATTGTTTCCTATCAAAAGAAAGAAAAAAAAAAAAAAAAAAAAAAAAA